CTTCCTTTCCTGAACCCTGCTTGGACCTTTGGGATTTCTCTTTCGACGGATTATTGGAGCCTATGTTGTAGTATTTTGTGCATGATTTTGCTTGCATGGGAGATCACTGCTATGGTTCTATAGTTACTACAGTCTCTTGTGTCTCCCTTTTTGTGGATGGGGATGTATATTGAGTATAGGTATATTCAATTAAATATTGATTGAACAGAAAGGGTGATAGGATGCAGCCTTGTCTGACCCCTTTGCCAATTGGAAACCACTCTGTTTCTCTGTATTCTGTTCTGAGAGTAGCCTCTTGTCCTGAGTGCAGATTCCTCATTAGGACTATCAGATGTGTTGGCACTCCCATCATGTCTTTAAGAGCGTTCCATAGCCTTTCATGATCTATGCAGTCAAAGGCTTTGCTATAGTCTGTAAAGCACATGCTGATTTTCTTTTGGAATTCCCTGCTATGCTCCATTAGCCATTGTATGTTTGCAATGTGGTCCCTAGTGCCTCTTCCTTTCCTGAACCCTACTTGGACCTCAATGACAGAACAGTCCCATGCCCGCCAACATTTCCGCCAACATTAGGATTGGCTTGCCACAGGGCGGTATATAAATAAAATTTATTATTATTATTATTATTATTATTATTATTATTATTATTATTATTATTATTATTATTATTATTATTATTATTATTATTATTATTATTATTATTATTATTATTATTATTATTATTATTATTATTATTATTATTATTATTATTATTAATTTCGATTTCTTTCAGTCCTTTCCAATTTCGACCCACCGGATTCGAACCAGCAAAACTCCTGCAGCCGCCATCTTGGAAGAGGGGAAAAGAATAAGCTCCGCAGTGACCTCACACGCCCGACCTTAAAATGGCGACGGAGAGCTGGCTGACTTTTCAAAGCAGCAGATTCGTGTCCCTGCTTTATTACTTCCAAAAAAAAAAAAAAAAAACCAAAGTCTCCTTTGTTTAGGAAATCTGCCTCGAAGCCTTCTATAAGGGAAACCCGAGACGTCCATCAGCCCTGGCTGCAAAATTTAGGAATTTTCAACCCCTTCTGCCCTTGCAATCCTATTGGCTTGGCCCCCCCTGCACTGCGATTGGATGAAAGGGAGCATAAATTAGCATATAAAATACAAGAGCTGGCTCTGTGGTTAAATATTGGAAGTTCCTCCAAATAAATTGACATTTGACCATCATGCATTTTTAAATTCAAGCTGGGTTTTGCATTGCAAGGCAAATACATAGCATGAGGGCACAATATATAAAATATGAGCTTTTAACATGGTCAATGTATTGCTCACCATGATCTGGAAAATACTTGGAATTACAGTGATATATACAAAGGAGGTGGAACATGATTTCTGTGTTGTATGAAAGGAGAGAAGGTTAGCACTCCCCTTGACAAGGATGGAAGAGGTCCTAGTGGCCTTTACAACACACATATGGTTAAGGCATTGCCGCTTACTTTGTGGCATCTAACCAAGTTTTTCCCCCTTTGAATTGTTCATTCATTTATTTTTAGAGAGTGTTTACACTCCACTCTTTAGCCACAAAGCCTCCCGGAAATTAATTCTTTCTGCAAAAAAAATTATTATTCAAGAGACACAAAAGTAGGAGCTTTATATCCAGAGGTAGTGGTGGTGATGGTTGTATAGCAAAGTGCAACAACATCCAAAATCCACAACACTGGGATACCTTTGTGGTGCCAATCAAAAT